CCTGAGCGTCCTGCCGTATGTCTATATTTTACCCCTGACGGGCCCCAGACCCGGCAAATAAATCTAGGAAGTCTGGTTCCATGGGAAGCAGATGGAGCCAATGAAGTGTTCTGTGGCCTTGCAACCATCACACAGGTTCACATCAGTTCCTTTCCACCGTCAATTCTGAGTCTGAAACTTGCAGACAGAAAGTGTGGTATTTACAGATGCCTCAGTGCCAGACAGCCTGCAGCCCGGCCCCATTAAGTCCTCGCAGCACGACATCCATTTGACAATGTCAGCATCCACTCACCAAGAAGTCTGTCTTCTAAGGAATATATCGAGAGGTAAGTGTGGTGACAAGACTCTGCATCCAAGTGGGAAACATTGAGCAGCACATGCATCTTCTCTGGTGCCAGCAGGATCCATACACACAGCCTGCAGGCAGATACATTAAGAGGGAGTTATTCCGAGACAGAAAGTGTCCAGTTCGTGGGCACAGCCAGACTGGAGGTGGGGGCTGGGGGAAGAGTGGCAGGGAGGCTACTCACTGCTTGCTCTCATAATACAGGTAGGGGCTTTCTGGGAAGTGCAGCTCCCCCTGAGACTCACGGAGCACACGGTCCCGCTCACTGCATGAGGCTGGGAAAGAGAGCCACGAGAATCAGGGTAACAGTGGTGACTGGCCACAATAGTCCTCTCCTTCTAGAACCTGTACAGAAGTGCCTAGTTCTTCAAGATGCATGGTTCCTCTCTTGTCAAATATTTCTCTTGCTTCTGTGATGCCTTACTCTTTTTTGTTCTTTTTAGATCCTGCTTAACCTTGAGATTCAATGATTCCTTCTGCTTCACTCCATCATAACTTGCTTCTATAAATACATGTATTTCCCGGTTCTAGCCTTAGCTTTCTTTTTTTTTCAAAAATTTTTAATGTTTATTTAATTTGGAGAGGAGAGAGAGAGACAAAGTGCAAGTGGGGGAGGAGCAGAGAGAGAGAGGGAGACACAGAATCCGAAGCAGGCTCCAGGCTCTGAGCCATCAGCACAGAGCCCGATGTGGGGCTCAAACTCACAAACTGTGAAATCATGACCTGAGCCAAAGTCGGACACTTAACCGACTTAGCCACCCAGGCGCCCCTCTATCCTCTTTTTACACGAGCCCTCTGACTAGTCTCATCCATACTCTGAGTTTCAACTGTTATTCTACACTTCTGAACTTCAGACCTCGTTTTTCAACCATCTCCTAGATATCCCCTTAACATGCTACAGATGGTCTGCAAAAAACTGCTTCCACTTCTGATTCGATTACTTTTAGGTGCCCTTTGCTTCGTTTCTCAGGCTCAGAACTTTGGTACCATCCTTGGTTCCTCCCTGTCTCCGCCCCCCCCCCCCACCCGCCTTCATCTAAGTGACTGCCAGGTGCCAATTCTTCTTGTTTCCATTCCCATCCTTTCATTCCCCGGCCATTGCCCTAAGCCTCTAGAACTAATGTGTAATCTCATAAGTCCACCTTGAATGATTTCCCCTCCATCCTATCCCCTATGTGCTGTTCTCATACCACCAGAGTACTGCTCTAATCTATTTAATTAATCAACTTCCTATTACTCAGTAAATCCAAACTTTTTTTTGACAGGCATCCAAAATTTCTACAAATTGGTCTCCATTTATTTTCTAATCTCCCTCACTTCAGCTGCTCTGACTGACATGCTGGTCTCTTACCCCAACATTTTCCTATCTCCATCTTTTAGCATCCATCTTTCGACAAAGAGGATTCCTTGAGCTGCAGTATTTTTCTTTATCTGTATCCCATTTCCACCTGACAACAGTCTACTGGTTCTTTGTGGTTTTGTTGTTTGTTTGTTTCTTTGTTTGTTGTGATTCAGCTTAAAATGCATCTGTGTTCCAAAGCCTCCTCTGGCTTTTTCCCCCCAGCCACTTACTCCTGCAGCTCTCAAGGTACTCTTTTTCCTGAAACTATCTTTGTATTTAGTTCCACAGACTCACAGACACACACTGAATATTTGAGCCAAAGGTGCCTTAGAGACTATCTGATCCAGACATTTTTTTTTTAACCGTTTATTTATTCTTGAGAGAAAGAGCGTGCGCGCAAAGTGGAGGAGGGGCAAAGAGAGAGGGAGACACGAAATCCGAAGCAGGCTCTAGGCTTCGAGCTGTCAGCACAGAGCCTGATGCAGGGCTCGAACTCACAAACTGCAAAACATGACCTGACTGAAGTCGGACACTTAACCGACTGTGTCACCCAAGCGCTCCCAGATTCTTTTCTTTATGGACAAGGAAACTGAGCTCCAGAGGTAGGAAGGAGCTCTCCCAAAGTCACAGAGCAGCTTCATTGAAGACTTGGCAATGTGGGGGAGAGTCCCCTGTACACATGAGGACGCTTTCAGGGTAAGGCGTGTAGCTTAGTGACCATCTGCACCACCTCACCTCCCGCTCCCTCTCGAGTGTCTGATCTAAAGCTAGGATTCGGCAAGTGTTTGCTGAGTTGAGATGGAGGGCTTGAAGAAGTGAAATGGGAGAGGATCCAGAGCTCCTTCTGGGTGATGGGCTGCCCTGACTGGCAGGGAATGGCTGTGGGTGCCCCAAGTGTGGGTAGCTTTCTACCTAGTGAGCAGAGAGAGCTCTTCCTAAGACTTCCGATTACAAAAGGAACTTATATTCAGAAATACTAGATATTAATTCCTGCTCCCGGTGGAGCAGGCTGTAAGAAATACCCACCTCTGGAGCTCTTCCTCCGTTTCCCTGGGAAAGAAAAAGGAGCGTGCTATTCAAGGTTTGTGGTACCCTGAACAATATTTCAACAAGTTAGCATTTCCCTGGCTCAAAAGTGCAGGGATTTTTAAGTCACTATGCAACTAATGAAAATCTGATCTCTGGAAAGAACAGAAGGCGTAATTTGACAAAACAGGAACGTGGTCTCGGTGTTTTAATGAAATTTCACTCTCTTTATTAAGTGCACTAATCAGGCCACGATTAGCTGGGAGGTCACACAGAGGAAGAGGTTATCTGGTCTACTTCTCCCATTGTTGATGAGAAGGGATGCTGGAGATGAGAATAAGTGGCCCGCAACCAAAAAAGAGTTACTGGGGTAGCTACCACTTGAGCTGAGGGCTTGGATGCCTGCCACTGTACACTTGATAACAAACCCAAGTTCTTACCAATTGAATTTTAATTAACTCCTTTGGGACAGAACAGAAGCCCTATTGAAGCTGGAAGCTACTAGTTAGAAAACAATTATGTTGGATGTGGAGGCAGAACCGAAGTTTCAATTAACTCCCTGATCAGTCTAGTAGAAGGTGTTTATAGACCCTGATCTTTTCAGACGTATGGCACCCAGATCTGTGCCTGGCCTTCTCAACCACAGCATCACTCACATTTTGGGTTGAGCCATTCTTTGTCATGGGTCTGTTCTGTGCATTATAGGATGCTTAGCAACATCCATACCTCCTTCCCACTAGGTGGGTGGCACCCCCACGTTGTGACAACCAAAAACCAATGCAGACATTGTCCTCTGGGGAGCAAAATTTCTCTATAGCTTGATAAATCTTGCTAGCACAGTTGAGAAGTAAATGGTGAAAATACATCTCTAGCTGATTGTTTCAACTAAAGGCAATTTGACAAAGTCTAGGATGAATGGATTCACGTTTCTTTATATATTTGTATACTGTACTGTACACCATATTTTACTCTGGTTTTAAATTTCATAAATGTCACAATTCTTATGTACTACACTAAAAACAGAAGCAAGCCTGTCTGCTCAGTGGTCCTGTCTTGCCTAGACTCTGCTGACGCTCTCTCTGGCCTTAGCTTCTTGACCTTATGTGCTGGATTTATTACCAGTTTGGATGTGTTTGTGGATCCAGGGAAGCACTTTTCTAAGATCTGTGAAGATCCCAGGGGATCCTTGGTTATCTTCCTGCATGTTGTTTCTCCAGCCTCGGCCACAGCCCAAACCCCAAGAAGTCACACCAGCCAGAGTCCAAGCCCCCTTCTTATTCCGGCACATGAGGGAACCTCCTGAATCTCCCTGCAGGGGGAAAAGCCTCCATTACCATCATTATCAGTGTCTGTGCTCACTCTTTCCCCCCAAGAATATGCTAAAGGAGGATCAATGATATTTCTTCACTTCTAATAACTTGGACTCGGTGGCCAGGAGAACAGCCAAGCACAATTCACATTAAATCTTCAAATATCATTAGGGCCTATCAATTTCACCTCTTTCTTCCCCATCCTTCCCCTTCCACCCTTTCTTCCATCTCCTATCTCATCCTGCAGACTCAGAGAAGTCTTGCCCAGTAGTGAAACTGATCCCAGATCTTGGTCAGCGGGAGGAATGGAAGGAGAGTGATTATCCACTAGATGGAAACTTCTCAGTAGGAAAACCCCAGCCATCCTTCAGCTGTAGAGAACCCTAAGCTCACTGATGGCACTATCTCTGTTAGTTGGTCTTTTGGAAAAAGGAGAAGACCTCCTCTGAGTTCACACTCTCCAGTAAAAACAGATTGTAAAAACTGTCACTTTATTTCAACTTGACCTCCCTTGCCACCCCTGACAAGAATCCAGTTTTGCCTGTAGCCTTCTTTCAGCCCCTCACCTGATGGCAAAGCTGAGGGAAGCCCAGCCAGGGACCTTTCAGCCTGACCACTCCCACCTACCTGACATGCATCTCTCCCTCCATCCGGGAAACCTGTGCAGAGAAAGGTCTGCCCACTGATGGGTTTCTTTAGGGTTAACAAAGCTGCCACACACTCTTCCTGGGTCAAAATGGGCAGGTTCACATCCTGCAATACCTGCGAGACAACGCCATCTAGAAAACACAGAGATGAGAGCCCCAGTGAGGCACTCTCGCACTTCCTCAATTGAAGATGCTACATTCAGGTTTGTGTCCTTTGGAAAGACCTGGATTTCTATGTTCAATGAATATTCTCTTTTGAAATGCTTACACCATTGTTGTTGTTTTTTAAAATAGATTAAAAACAACTGTATTTTCTAATTACCCACCAGGAAGTTCTGACATCTGATTAAGAGAAGTGGCATACAAGTTCTTACCTTCAGCTGAGCGGCCCCAGCCTGCAGTTGTACAAATAAATCCAGCCTCAAATTCTTCCTTTGGCTCTGGAAGACACATTGGGCCCACAAACTGGCCTGAAGAAAAGAGCAGGACAGGGTTTGGAGGAGAGGACACCCTAAGCCACTCACCATTTGGTATGTAGGTGGTTCCCCAAAGACCTTGTGAGAGTTGTGATATCTATGCCTCGCACCTCCAGGGGCCACTTATCAGACAGAGAAAGACTCTCTCCTGAATCCACATAACCCTATATTTGAAGCCACAAGCAAAAAGAGCTTCACATAGGGGACCCTCCACCTCAAATTCCTGTCTCAAAGTGCATGACCCAGAACTGTTGGACATATGCTACATAACATACGCTGTAGGAAATGTGCTATGGAACAGAAGTTATAGAGCACATGGGATAGACAATTCAGAGTGAACCTCTAATGTTTACCAAAATGGAAGGCGCCATCCATCTTCAAAAGAGCAATATCATAGTCCATTGGCTTCTTGATGGAGAAGTAGGGGTGTATGATGATGGTTTCAATGGTGAGGGTTTGCTCCCCTGGCTCTATATGACTCAAGTCATACTCTCCAGCAGTAACATTCAAAGTTGATGCGATATTTCTATGAAGAAGAAGCGGTAAAATGGCTGACTTTCATTTAGCCTCTGAGTATACTTGTAATGGTTGACAATCTGGCCTCTTTCAAATAACATGGATGGATGATATGAGTGTGAGGATACTGAACAGAGAAAGCGAGAATGATTCCATCACTACTAGTAAAAGTGCAAAAGTTCCTGACTTAAGTGGGAAACTAGTAAAGAGTGGCCTCAAATGGAGCCAATAATATGATAAATTGAATACTTTGCCTTGTTATTCATTAAATGTCTAAAAATGCATTTATATTGTAACTCAGAGGTCTGAAGCCATAGTGGACTTTATTCACCTACCCTAACTGGCTGGCCTGGCTTCAATAGCAGTGAGATTCTTTGAGAATTACTTGTGATTCCCCTAAGTATGCTGCTTTAATATCAGAGATCTAATGCTCAGTGTACATTGTGAAAGTCATTGTGTAATAACACCAAAACTCTGGTATCTCAGCGAGTATGCACAGTTAAGGCTTTGGGACTGATGAACACAATGGGAGTGAGGATCTTCTCCTTACATTCTTTATGTTTGTAATTTAGAGACATGGTGTGAGATGGGAAAGACCACTCTATTGCCATTCTTTCTGTAGCAAAGTTATCTAAAAGGAACTCGGTAGAATGCATTGAGTTGTATTAAGAACTTTGGGCTTACAGTCTTTGGGCACCCTTTATTCCCAGAAGTGATTTTTTTTTATATAGAACTGAAAAGGTTGTAATTTTCTCCTGGTATATTCCCTCCAGCTCTTGGCTATATTGGGTACCTAACCTAATACACAGCATCTCTTTAGCCTAACCACCTGCCACACTACAGTGAAATTATCAATTAACTTTTCTTTAGACTATCAACTCTCTGTGGGCAGGAATTACATCTTACTTACTTTTGTATCTTGGTACCCACCAAAGTGTCTAATGCCAAGTGAATATCCAGGGGATGTTTGCTGACTTAAAATAAAAGAGGACAAATATGGGACTTGATTGCAGCCTAGTGACTACCCAGAGCACTAAAAACAATAGAACATTTAGAGCACACAGGAAAGTGGATAAAAGATGGAAGTTGTTAGACTGAAGCTCAGAGAGGCATGACCAGTAGAAAAGCGGACATGAGAGACTTCTTTACATTTTACTGGCCTCCCTTTGGTTTCCTCTATCAATTTTGTCTTAATCTTTAAATGCTGTAAGTTGATTTCAAAGGAAAAAAAATAGAACAACAATGACCTTTGCATTTGGGGGAGAACTGTTTTTACACTTTTGGAAAAGGACGAAGAGAAGTTGGATCAAGAAGTGAGTTACTGAAATATAAAGTTGCGTTCCAACAGCTGCAGTGAGCCCATGACTAAACATGGACAATGCTGGTCAGGGCCAGGGGCTACCAGGGCATGGCTTTCTATTACTAATGTTTAATGTCAGCTCCTTTACAAGGACAGAAATCACAAATAAATCTTCCAAAAATGGGATCAGTGTGATCAGACATGTGTTATAAAAGAAAAATACTGGTAGGGGCAATATTTTCCAGAATACACATTTTGTATATAGACTGTATTGTATGAAACAAAGTCATAATTAGAAGCACTGGGTTCTTTTACCAATTTTTTAGGATGCATAATGAACCAGATTTTTTTTTTTCACTGAAATGTAGGAGAGGCTTTTCACAAATGTATCTTTATGATCCTTTGTTTTCACTTGGATGTTATTCTTTAATTACTTCCAGTCATGTTTGAGTAAATAAAATTTTCTACTCCTGCAAAGAAAGTATGTTTTCTATCAAGTTAAGTACCCTCTGACAGTGTCACTTAGCCCTTTTTGTGTCATGCATTTAGGATGTTCCCATGCTAATGCATACATCACGCATTTCCATGTTGTAATAGAGTTGTTGCTGCTGATTCCAAAGGAGAAGGTGGATAATCTGGCATTCATCCATGAACTAGGCCTTTCCTACCTGTTTGCAACGCAGTGAGCAGCCGTAATCACCCACTGTGCAGAGATGATGGTTCCACCACAGATGTGCTTCTGCCTTCGTTTCAGAGACACCTGGATTACAAAGAGCTTAAGTGGGAGCAAGTCAATGCCCTGTTGCCCCCCCCCCCCACAAAACCTGGAGACTGAGCATATTCTGAAAAATAGGCCCAGATGTCTTATATACAAATATTAGAAGTTGTGGAGTGTGAAGGAGTAAAACCTGTCCCATTACAGCTCAGAAGGGTAGTGTTGGAACCAGAATACTTCCAACCCTGGTCTACAGAAGAGGTAGTTAATTTGAGATGGTTGGCTGTAAGAGTTTAGTAGAATTGGTAGTAAAATTGGTGGTATTTATTTATTTGTTTGTTTATTAATTTATTTTCATAATACTGTTGGCCCAGACTGTTACCCTAATAATATGAACAATGCCTGTGAGTGAAGAGAAAGAAAGAAAAGTATAAGATATAGCAGAGTCCAGATGAAGAGGTTTGGGAGAAAAACAAGGTGAGGGCTAAGGTAATCTTTCGACACATGCTTCAATTCCTCCAAGCCTCTTAGAGAATAGTGTGTATCTACAATTTCCTCATGCTTTTACCTATTTGCTTTTAACTACCACTGCTTCAAGCCTATTTTTTAATCTGCCTCTACAAATTACTTGCTATCTTTGGTTTATCTTGTTCATGATATTTGATTTGACTCTAAAATGGGTACAGGTATATGCTGTTAATTCCATTGTCAAAATTAGAAAAAAATCAATTTATTAGAACTGTCTCTTTTTGACCAAAAATTATTCAATAAACTATTAAAATGTTTAATACAGTGAAGAATAGTAAGTAAAAGGAAGTAAAACCACTGACTATGACTTGAATATGAACTTCTGAGTTGATTAGTCAACCAATTGACCAGATAAGCAACTGATCAAATCAACTCTTCAACCAAGTAATTAATTCATCAGTTAATCAAATGACAATGCCTCAGCCATTTAGTCAAGCTACTGAGCACAAATTCAATCAACCAATCATTACTAAATAGCCACTTAGCAAAAATCGATGTGACTGACTTAAAGTAAAAGCAAGGGGCTATTGCTCACAAAATTAAGAGGCAAGAATACAACATGGCTCTCAGGGTAAAGAAAGCTGGGAGAATGTCAAAGACAATAAATGCGAACACTGTAGGCTAGAGACAGAAGCACAAAGGCATTTCTATGGCATGGGAAGACCAGGAAATTAGATTGAGAGAGAATTCTTAGGATATCAGCTTCTAAGGACATCCCAAAGATGTCCTATGGTATAGGTACAAATCTCCAAACAGAAATTAGACCTATGGATATAACAGCTTTGACTTTCCTGAGCATCTTTAACTATAACAATGTAACATATTTATTGACTAAGAAAATTGTTTTTTTTTTTCATTGTAAACTCACGAGGTTTTTTTTTTTTTTTTTTTTTAGCTTATTGAAGTGCAATTTTTGTCTTAGGGGCTGAAAGTTTGGGATGGCATTTCCAATTTTTGGAGCAAGCCAATAGTGCATATGATTATTCTGAACACACATTTTCTGGAACTCGATGGATGGACATCTTGAGGGACTTGGATCCTGGCCCACACTCATGACATATCTGGTTATGAGGTAGGCAGAATGGAGTTCACTGATGAGTAGCATGTGTTTCTGGGAGATCCAGTCCTGAGACAGCTCATAGTCTACCTGCCAGAGAATGTTCCCTGAGACTCACCTGCCAGGGGTAGGAACCCTTTTCCACTTGGCTTCCCCCAACAATGCGACTGAAAATGTTAAGGTAATTCCAAGGCTGTGCCTTCACCAAACTCTGCCCACAAGTGGGATCTGGGAATGAGAGAAGACAAAAATTTAGTGGTTAGATAGCTCCTGGAAATGAGGGATACAGGAAACTTTACTGAGCAAGCAACTGTAGGACATTGAGCATGTAGAAATATTATAAAGCAGCTTTATGTTAATTGTGAGATTTGCTTCAGCTTTTCTCACATAGAACGGGCACATTATGAAGACACCTATTTTTTTTAATATGAAGGTGAAGGGACTCAGAGGTAGATCTCCACTGGGTTAGCAGGACTATAGCCCCCTTGGTTTTGAGCAACCTGCCCTTTTAGAGGCTCCTTACAGCATTCTGTACTTCTATAGCATTTATCACATGCCATTATGGTTAATTTTACATGATTCAACCCAGCTAGGCTGTGGTCTTCTCAAATATAGGAGCTTAACCTTAGAAATATCTAAATTCAAAATATCTAGAACAGTTCATTACGCATAGAAGTTGCTCAGTTAAGTAGTGAAGTGGATGATGCCATATTCTGCCTTGGATTGTAATTGTGTGTACATCTTCTTTGCCCCACCCAGGAAACTGAGTGGAGACCATGGTCTATGCTGCCTGACACATTGTCAGATATTGGATTTAAATCTTTATGCAAGTGGAAAGTGGCAGGTTGCTCGAGAAGAGTGGGGTGGAGAGAAGATGTCCTGATTCACACACCACAGTGGTGCTAGGCTAGAAGGGTTGCCAGGTAATGGCAAAAAGAACTCTTTCCTTTTTGTGGAGAAGACTTTATCCCTGAAAAGGTTTCATTTACTTATTTAACCTCAATGTGTTTTTTGACTCCTCAATTAGCAGATGAGATAGATTAAAGATGTTTAGGTCTCCCTGGTAATTCGAGGATGATAATTCTGTCCCTTCTGCAGGTCATTCTTTTCATCATGTTTTCAAGGAGAGCCTAGAAAGCCCTGCCTGATAATCACCCTGCTTCTTTACCTGGCTGAACCCTCTAATCCTTATTCCTCAACTTGGGCAACACCTCAACTGAGAAGTCTTCCTTCGTTTCCTCGAGCTGTGGTAAGTATCTCTCCTGTATTGTGTAGTACACTTTCCTCCCCACTTTTATAGACTTTGCCATGCAGTATTGTGATAACGAGTTGTTTGTCTCTCTCATTGGACTATAAACTACATGAGGGAAAAAAACCTATGTTTTATTCATCCCTGTATCTCCAAGGTTTTGCACAATTCCTAGCATACAGTAGACACTTAGAAAAGTTGGATGGATGAACAAATGTTTTTTTCTTGAGAGCATATCCTTGAGAGCATAGCCATTTGGATTAACATGGTAAAATATACAAAGTTCTTTCAAATAACTTCTCATTTAATCTCCACTCAATGCCTGTGAATCAAGCACTATTGCCCCTGCATTACAGATGAGAAAGTGAAGAATCAAAGAAAATCACAGCTAATTAACAGCAAAGTATGGCTGTAATACTGAGCCTTTTTTGTTCTGAACCCAATGCAGGCATGACATTGAATCAAAAACTTATTTTCTAACTGTTTCAGTTGAATGGATCATAAGTAAATTAGACACGAAGTTGACTATTTCCTGAACTCGCTGAAGCAAAGACAGAAAACAGGATGATTCTTGGGGCTGGCATGACTCTGACTATAGAGAAGCCTGCCAAGAACTACTCTCACCTTATGGTACTTGAAGGAAAAAAAGAGCATTCGTAATGCACCACAGTCAATAGACTTCATATTTCCCAATAGGAGAATTTTCCAAAAGATTTCCAGTGCTTCCCAATAGATGCACCAATAGATGCTGATTTCCAGAATTTGCTCCATGAAAAAAGATCGGATTGTGGGATATGTCCAAATAAGTGAATCATCCCAGTTTTCTCTCCAGATCAATGCATCTTGTTCAGATTGTATCCCGTGAATGTTTTATGCAGTTTCATATGCTGATTACAGGACAGAAGCTCAAAATAATTACATGAAAAACAATTAGATCTCCAAAATTTATATGCTTCTATTTTCCCAAAGGAATATTGAGTTGGGGTTGTGATGTCCATTGCCAGCAAAGGTTATTCCTTCAGACAAAGGCAGTGATAGTGTTTGTTTGGAACTTACCTTTGGGGAGAGAGAGAGTTGCAGATTTACATTGTTCCACACAGAGCATTCCAAGTAGTAAAATCAGCCTATTCTTGCTCAGAGGCATTTTAAGACTCAGAGTTTTTCCTTGAATATTTAGAGAGATGAAAGAGCACCAAATAGAAAGCCTGTAAGACCAGCAATAAACCAGCTTAAAAGAAAGTTATTTATTAACCAAGACTTGAGTCATTCAACCATGTCCATACAATGTTTCTAAATGTGGTTTCTTGCAAAGATCTTCGCAAGATGTGGGGAGTCGACCACAGAAGCATAGTCTTGATCCAGCAATATTACACGTCCCATTACACCCACATCAATCTGTTGCTTCCCCCGGAGTTTATTGGCTAGCCAAGTGGTTGGTGTCTAAGGTTTTATATGCAAACATTACTTGCTCCTTAGTATATAGGTTACCACTTTCTACAAGAGGATTGAATATCAAAGTTGTCCTTATTTGCAAGGTTATACTACATGCTTGCAAACAACCCATCAGAATATGCTAAAATATTTTTCTTTCTCTTATTTTCCAATTGTAAATGGGCGGTTATAGCTATGTGTTAGAGAAGGAGAGGGGAGGAGAGGAAAGATAATTTGATAGCACACTCAGGAATGAAGTCAAGCTACCAAACAGTCATTTGGGATACTGTCGATTGGGGCATTTGTGAATCTACATTTTCTCACCGTGTTTTATATTTGTAGAAGGCAAACACTAAATCGCTTTCACTTCTACACCTGGTAGATGATGTGGCACAGGAAAGTGGCTCTGATTATACACAAGTCTTCCTCTTCCTTGACTGAGTTCTTGGCACATCGTCAGTGTGTGAGAAACCCTTGTGGATCGGCCAGTGCCATGTGTGCCCACACGGGAATATGAGATTTTTTCTGTCAGCTTTTACAAATTAACTGCCCCAAAGAGCAAATGCCAAATCAGAAGGCTTTAACGTCCTTGTGACAAGTTTTGCCCTTGTACCACACAATTCTATAAAACTACATCACGTGCAAATAATATAAATGCAAAACGAAGGACACTCAAATCCCCAGAGACATTTCCACAAATACATTAATCCTGAAGCTGGAAAATTTTGGCTGTTGGTATAGCGATTGGTATCAACAATAAGAAGTAGTCAACCCATGTCTAAACTATAATCAAAATCTCCATCTTTTTTTTTTTTTGTACAAGTGATCTTTCAGGTCCTGTTATATTTTGTCACTCACTTTCCAGACCAATTTAATTTGACTAGGAATATGGCCTTCCTGACTTTAAATCATTATATTTTGTCTACTTATTGTGTGATACTAGTTTAAAAACTTGCAGGAAGACTTAGCCTGGGACGTGCCTGGGATGTGCCAGGGATGTGCCTGGGCGGACAGGCCTCAAGTAGGCATGGAGTCCCCATTAAACCATAGAGCGTTTGAGCTTTCAAACTAATGTCAGTTTCTAGTACCACAGAATAAAGAAATTGAAAATGAAAAATGAAATGAAAATGAAAATGAAAAAAGAAATCCAAAATGAAAAATGATGAGATTTCCCTTGCCATGTGAGAGTTGGGTATTTTTGTTGACTGCCACACAGAAATGTGATGGGATCCTGCGTGTTCCTGCAGTTCAGAGGAAGACATTCCCTTTAAGCTCTTGTATCAACACATATCATAATTATCAGTGTTATCAACACAGTCTTTCCCAACATGAAGCTGGTCATTAAAAGTTTGGTAATCTAATCTCTTGAGAGTGTAAACTGTGACTCCTTGCTGTTAAAATCATTAGGGAGATTGTATCAGGTTCTGGAACACTAAATTTCCATAAGGCCAGGTCCCCAAGCCTCCCAGAATTCCAAGGATTATAATAACTGTATGTTGTAGCTGCTTGCAGAAAGGGATATATTGAAGTGTTGTTGCTTGACATGGTAGTATAAAGTCAATTTTTCATCCACCAAACTGTTAAATCTTTTGGAGATAAAAATGTCTCTCTTGGGAATTCTGGGGCAAAATCTGTACCAAATATGGGGTTGGGGTTCAAAATACTGTCTTTATACTGTCAATATACTGTCTTACACTGTCTTCCTCATCTGTAAACCTTCAATTTGAGAAAATGGCATCACAATTTATCCTGAACCAGTGATATAGAAGCAAGTGACAGAAATAAAGAGCAAAACTTATTTGGGAGGACATACTTTTAACCCAGGCTAGACAAGAGTAATGCAGACAAAACCCCACTAAAAAAAGATGTGTTCAAAATTTGAAATTATAAAAGAACAAACCCAAATGAAAACAGTAAAAAACAAGGTATGTTTGCAGACACATCAAAGAACAGATTTAGACCATCAGGTAATAATAGAATGAGCTAGTAGACAGTATAACATATTGGTTAATATTTTCAAAGGAATAAAAGAATAAGAAACCTCAGATGGGTTTTTGTTTTAGAAAAGACCACAACAATTTGAAAAAACAAACAAACAAACAAACAAACAAACAAACAAACAAAGAGATAGTCTGGAAATAAAAAAAATATACCCAGAAAAAGTAGGTTAGACGGTAGATTATACATAACTAAAGAGAGAATTAATGAGCTGGAAGATAGATCTTAGGAATTACCCAGAATATCATATACTTATCTATGCAAAAAAATGAAAAAAATGAAAAAGTGCCATTTAGCATTATCTATCAGAATTTAAATTGGGAAAAGCTTTGACCCAATAATTTCACTTCTTAGAGCATAACCAAGAGAACTGGTATATGAGCATTGGCAGGGTATAGCTAAATAAATACTGATCAAACACTTAGAATGCTATGAATCATTACAAAGATTGAAGGAGATTAGTACATGCCCACAGGGAATTATCTAAAAAATATTTTTGAGTAAAAGAAAGCAATTTCAGAGCAATACAAACAGTAACATCACTCATGAAAAACCATATGGAAATCAGGAACAAGGAAGAGATTCTTGGTTATTCAAAGGGAGGACTGGGGTAGAGAAAAATATGGGGCAGGAAAAGGAAGAAGCATCTTCAATAACCGCATCTCTGTCTAAGGAGTTCGAGATTTGGTGGGGGGATCTATATAATAAGTGGGAAATGCCAATGCTGCATTAAATCATGGGTCACTTTCACATGGAGCATTGTGGCTCTTCTGCAGCTCACAGGAACTAACTGTGAGTCACAAGATAGTGTTTAAGAAAATAGTTCTAGGCTGCTTCTTAGAAATACCACGGATGACCAAAGGATAGCCCACATTAATTGTGTTGGTCCAAATCAAGTTTCAAAGCAAATTTGATGTTTTCCATTGTTATATACAAATAATGAGAAGACTAAACGAAGCCCCTGAGACCTTTATGAACCTCAGACAGCATAATGGTGTAGGCATACATAAACGCACCTAATTTTCTCAGTCTCGTTGGATTTTCTCCCATTGGATTCTCAGTGGGATGTTGACAAACCTGTGCCTCTCTGACCAGAGGTAAAAGTTTTATATTCTAAATGGTCCTAAATCCTGCGTAAATAAACCCTGTCATACAGAGATGACTCCTAGAGTTTGTCTCTGTCATAATATTTGGCCAGCAGGTAACAGTCATTCTTTGTTATTGATTTATTAATGTCCGTGCATTTGTAGCAGGAGCTACTAGTTGTTTATTTGAAATAGATTCTCAGTTATGAATTATTTGTTTACTGTTATCTATTGCTAAGTGTGTTAACATACAGCATCTCACTTAACACAGCAACCATGTGAAGCAAATATTATCTTAATTTTATTTTATTTTTTTATTTTTATTTTTTTTTTCTTTCAACGTTTATTTATTTTTGGGACAGAGAGAGACAGAGCATGAACGGGGGAGGGGCAGAGAGAGAGGGAGACACAGAATCGGAAACAGGCTCCAGGCTCTGAGCCATCAGCCCAGAGCCTGACGCGGGGCTCGAACTCCCGGACCGCGAGATCGTGACCTGGCTGAAGTCGGACGCTTAACCGACTGCGCCACCCAGGCGCCCCTATCTTAATTTTAAAAATAAGGATATTGAGTCTCAGAAGGATTATATAATTTTCAAGGTCACCTGCCAGGTGGCAGACCTTAAATTTATCCCCAGAGCTTTTGGCTCTGAAGTCTTCTCTTATTTTCATTGCAGCAACAGTACATCACGCTTTTCCATATCATACTGGCACCCACATAGTTCAGCTTGGCTCTGATGTTGTCTTTGGACACACTTTGGACAACACTTTGGCTGAGTGGCTGAGTGTTTCCTGCTGGCTGCCATGGCCTGTGATCACTATGTGGCCACCCGCTCTCCACTTCTCTACTCTACACACATGTCTTCAGAGTCTGTATCGTCTTATTGGCTGCTTCCTATCTGGGGGGATGGGTGAATGCTTCATCATTTACTGGCTGTTTATTGAGCTTGACTTTTTGTGGACCAAATAAAATCAACCATGTCTCCTGTGACCTCCCACCACTAGTGAAGCTTTCTAGTACCCATATTTATGTGCTGAAGTATCTCCTGCCATCTTAGGTGGGTCAATCATTGTAATCACATTGTTTATCATAGCTGTTTCATATCTATACATCCTGCACTTGGTCCTGAATATGCACCCCACTGAGGGAAGACACAAGGCCTTCTCTTTTTGTACTTCTCACCTCAGTGCAGCCACTTTGTTTTATGGCACAGTCACATTTGTTTATGTCATACCGAAGTCAAGCTACTCATCTGACGATATTAAAGTGGTGTCTGTGTTCTATACAGTGTGGTCCCCATGCTGAACCCCTTGATCTACAGTCTGAGAAACAAAGAGGTGAAAGAGGCAATGAGAAAATTGATGGCTAGAAAAAATAGGTCATTTTGAAAGAAATTCAGTGTGATTCCAGAAACTGAAAAACTATAGTTTCAGGAACATATGTAATAGATGTTTATGTTATCCATTAGCCTTATCACTTTATGTGAAGAACTATCTTAAATACACAATGCCAGTATGTTAATTAGTACCAACTTTAATTTATAATTTTCTAGGTCACAAAATATATCATTTCATGAAATTCTGCTGGGTTTGATTTAATGTATATATTTCAGCATTAGGAGACCTAGAGAATATAGTTTTACTTTTTCTCTGCTTTGCTCATTGGTTAGAGTCCATGATTACAGAGTGTTTTATTTTTCTTCTGTTAGGTTATTATTTTTAAAATATCTTCTTGTAAGTTAGTATCTTAGAAAGCATTGTGTACTCAATGGAAATGCAATTGATAGTAGTGTCAGTCCAGGTCACTTTCTCTGGAAGCCTTGGTCTGTCTTATACAGGGTTATCATAACCTTTGAAATGGAGTCTTGAAAATTTTTATTTCCACCTAGAATAAGAGACCAAAAGAATTTATTACATACTTTTGCCACCAAAGCAACTCAATCCAGGTAACACAGAAGAACTCTGAAGGCTGAGCCTTTGAGAGTTCCTTTGAAAATTCCCAGTAGATTTTTCATATTTTTCAAAAGTTTGTCTCCAAAGACTTGTCTTTGAACCTTTGCTAACAAGCTTTTGAATAGTAGGAAAAACTACTGGGGTGTATTGGTGGGAGGAGGCTAAGGTACAGTGGAACTTTCTTTCGCAAGCCAATTGGTATAAAATTATGGATTAAGACACCCGGGCTGATGCAGGCAAGGACTATACCTGCGATCCTTCTCCCAAATATCTCCCGAAGTGTTCATTGCCACCACTTCCGTCACGACTTTATTTTAGGTGTTTATGATTGAGCCTGGACAGTTTTCACCCTCCTGAATTACTTCCCTGCCTCCAGAACCTTTTGATTAATCATGTTGAAAGATTAAAATATGGTTTTCCAATTATTACAAAAGTGATGTGTGTTATATGAATCCTAGAGTAAATGTGGATTCCAATTCTCCCTAATCCACTGTTCCCAGAATATAAATTGGTGAAAGAAGAACTCTTTACAAACAGTCAGAGATAAGAAGACAACTTGCAGAAGGAATAGCTTCAGGAAGTCCTGGTAACTCAGGTCTCCTATGGATGATGTTATTTATCCACAGTTTTTTAGAAAGATAATACCAGAGAGTCCGAGGCTAGTCACCAGGTTTTACAATGAAGTAATCAGGTGGCGTTCCCCCTCATCGCTCTGGACCTCTTATGTTGAGCATTTTAAAAAAGCATTTGTCAGCCATTTGTATATCTCCTTTCGTGTAATGTCTCTTCAAGTCCTTTGCCAATTTTATGCTCAGATTGTACTTTTCTTATCGATTTGTTCTTACTATAATCTGTCTACAGCTCTTTTGTCAGATTTCTGCATTTGGAAGTTATACTCCCATTCCGGTTTGCCTTATCACTCTCTTAATTGTCTTTTGATGAACGGAAGTTTTTAATTTTAATGAAGTCTAATGTAATAACGTTTTCCTTATTGTTTTGTGTTTTAGTGACAAGTTCAAGAAATCTTTTCCCAATCCAAGGCTACAAAAATATTCTCTCATGTATTCTAGAGGTTTTATACTTTTGAAACTCAGAGTTGGGCTGTAATTTTACTTTGTTTCACATATGAATTAAAAAGGGCAGAGCCAACACATATATTTACTGAGAGAATGTGTGAAACTATCTGGTTTTGCTTGTATTACCAGCTCCTCCTCCAAGACTGTTTTTTATTTTATTTTATTTTATTAATTATTTATTTTTTAATTTACATCCAAGTTAGTTAGCATATAGTGCAACAAAGATATCAGGAGTAGATTCCTTAATTCCCCTTACCCATTTAGCCCATCCCCTCTCCCACAACCCCTCCAGCAACCCTCAGTTTTTCTCTGTATTTCAGAGTCTCTTATGTTTTGTCCCCCTCCCTGTTTTTATATTCTTTTTGCTTCCCTTATGTTCATCTGTTTTGTATCTTAAAGTTCTCATATGAGTGAAGTCATATGATATTTGTCTTTCTCTAATTTCACTTAGCATAATACCCTCTAGTTCCATCCATACAGTTGCTAATGGCAAGATTTCATTCTTTTTGATTGCTGAGTAATCCTCCATTATGTATGTATGTGTGTGTGTATATATATATATATATATATATATGACACCTTCTTTATCCATTCATCCACCGATGGACATTTGGGCTCTTTCCATACTTTGGCTATTGTTGATAGTGCTGCTATAAACATCGGGGTGCGTGTATCCCTTCGAAACAGCACACCTGTATCCCCTGGATAAATACCTAGTAGTGCAATTGCTGGGTCGTAGGGTAGTTCTATTTTTAATCTTTTGAGGAACCTCCATACTGTTTTCCAGAGTGACTGCACCAGTTTGCATTCTCACCAGCAGTACAAAAGAGATCCTCTTTCTCCACATCCTCGCCAACCTCTGTTGTTGCCTGAGTTGTTAGTGTTAGCCATTCTGACAGGTATGAGGTGGTATCTCATTGTGGTTTTGATTTATATTTCCCTGGTGATGAGTGATGTTGAGCATTTTTTCATGTGTTGGTTGGCCATCTGGATGGGTTGTTTGGAGAAGTGTCTTCATGCAAGACTGCTTTTTAGATAAACTCCTTGGAGTGTAGGGGAAGGGAATTTTGGGGTGAAATGATTTACTTTTGCACTAGGGTTACTTCTGATTTCTGTCTGTCCAGGCAGTCCACGATGTCATCTAAGGATTGGCTGATTCCTTCTCATCCCTTCAAGGTTTCTCAGTATAATGCAAGCTAGACTATGCACCTGCCCTCAGGTATGCAACCTGTCACAGGTCTCTGCTCACAGGGAAACAATCCCATTACAATACACCAAAAAGAATAAAATAATCTAGGAATATATTTAGTGAAGGAGATGAAACTTCCTTTGTTTACTTTGTAAACTTGTATAGTGAAAACTATAAAATATTGATAAAAGAAATTAAATAAGACCCAAGCAAATGTAAAAACATCCTGTGTTCTTAGGTTGGAAGACTTAATATTGTTAAAATATCCATACCTCCCAGGCAGATTCAGTGCATCCCTACCAAAATCTCAATATAATTTTTATAGAAATGGAAAAAAGAATTATAAAATTCGTATGGAACCACAAAGGGCCCCCAAATAGCCAAAATAATCTTGAGAAGGAACAGCAAAGCTATAGGCATCACATTTCCTGATTCAAAATAATATTGCAAAGCTACATTAATTCAAATAGTATGGTACTGACATAAAGACATACGTCTAGGCCAATGAATAGAATAGAGTACCAGAAATATGTTAATGCATATACAGTCAAATAATTTTCAACAAAGGCACCAAGAATACACAGTGAGGAAAGTCTCTTCAATAAATGGTGTTGGGAAAAGTGGATATCCATATTCAAAAGAATGAAATTGAACTCTTTTTTTTTTTATTTAAATACAAGTTAGTTAACATATAGTGTAATAATGACTTCAGGAGGGGGCGCCTGGGTGGCTCAGTCGGTTGAGCGTCCGACTTCGGCTCAGGTCACGATCTCGCGGTCCGTGAGTTCGAGCCCTGCGTCGGGCTCTGGGCTAATGGCTCAGAGCCTGGAGCCTGCTTCCGATTCTGTGTCTTCCTCTCTCTCTGCCCCTCTGCCGTTCATGCTCTGTCTCTCTCTGTCTCAAAAATAAATAAACGTTAAAAAAAATTTTTTTTTTAAATAATGACTTCAGGAGTAGAATTTAGTGATTCTTCGCTTATAGATAACACCCAGTACTCATCTAAACAAGCCTTCCTTGATGCCCCTCGCCCATTTAGCCCATCCCCCCACCCAACATCCCTCCAGCAACCCTCAGTTTGTTCTCTGTATTTAAGAGTCTCTTATGGCTTATCTCCCTCTCTGTTTTTATATTATTTTTGCTTCCCTTGAACTCTTATCTTAAAGTAAACAAAAGAATCAACTCAAAATGGATTAAAGACTTAAATGTAAGAAATAAAACTGCAAGAAGAAAACCCCTGGAAGAAAATAGGGGAAAAGTTTCATGTCATTGGTCTTGGCAATAATGTTTTTGGTATGACATTGAAATCACAGGCAACAAAACCAACGAAATCACAGGCAAACAAAATCACAGGTAACAAAAATAGATAAGTGGGACTACATCAAACTTAAAGCTTCTGCACAGCAATGAAAACCATCACCAAAGTGAAAAGGTAACTACAGAATGAGAAAATATTTGCAAACGATATATCTGATAAGGCATTAATTTCCAAAATATATAAGGAACAGCTCAGCAAAGACAACTCAATAGCAAAAACAAGAAATGGCCAAGAGGTACCAGGAAAGATACTCAACATCGCTCATCATCATGTAGATGCAAATCAAAACCATGATGAAATATCACCTCATATGTGCCAAGATGGCTATTATCAAAAAAACAAAAGGTAAGTGTAGGTGAAGGGCACCTGGGTGGATCAGTCAGTTAAGTGTCCAACTTTGGTTCAGGTCATGATCTCACGATCTGTGTGTTTAAGCCCCGCGTCAGGCTCTGTGCTGAAAGCTCTGAGCCTGGAGCCTGCTTTGGATTCTGTGTCTCCCTCTCTCTGCCCCTGCCTCACTCATGCTCTGTCTCTCTCTCTCTCTCTCTCTCTCTCTCTCTCTCAAAAATAACTAAAAACATTAAAAAATTTAAACTTTTTTCAAAAAGATAATTGTAGGTGAGTATGTGGAGAGAGGGCAAACTTTTATACATTGTTGCTGGGAATGCAAAATGGTACAGCTGCTATGAAAACCTAGCAGCTCAATTGGAGGGTTGCTCAATTAAGGAGCAACCTTATGGAGGTTGCTCAATTAAGAATAGAACTACCGTATCATTCAGTAATCCCAACTCTAAATATTTATCTAAAAGAACTGTAATCAGTATCTCAGAGATATTAGCACTCACGTGTTCACTCCAGCACTATTGACAATAGCCAAGATATGAGAAAGCAACTTAAATGTCTACTCACAGGTAAATGGATAAAGAAAATTTGGTATATATACATACAACGGAATCTTTTTTAGTCTTGAAAAGAGGAAATTCTGCAATATGTGATAACATGGATGAACTTGGAAGACATTATGCTGAGTGAAATAAGCCAGTCACAGAAGGACTAACACTACATGATTCTACTTTATGGCGTACCTAAAACAGTCAAAGTCACAGACTCAAGAGTGGAATGATGCTTGTCAGAGGCTGGAATTGGAGTGAGATGGGAAGTTGCTAACCAACAGGCATAAGGTTGCAGTTAAGCAAGAGAAATACGTTCTAAAGATCTGCTGAAGAACATTGTATTGTAGTCAACAAGACCGTATTGTACACCTAAAAGCCTGTTGAGATGTCTCGTGTCAAGTCTGGTACTGCTATGTACCAGGCACTCTGCAATGTTCTAAGAATAAGTGTGGAACAAAGCAGACATGATCCTTCCCTCATGTAAGTGTAGGAAAGTAGTCCAAAAAAAAAAAAAAAAAAAAGACCCGGAGCAATTATTTACACTAGTATCATCATAATTAAAAGTATAATAGATGCAGAACATATTTCGGGATTCTCTGAAACTATACACCATGAGACTATGACTTAGTCCAGGGTGTCAGAGGAAGTTTGAACAGTGAAATAAATTTAAACCTGAGACCTAAGGTGACTAGGAATTGATCTTCTGTTGAAAGGGGGTGGAGTGATGAATATAACCATAAAATGGTTTTTAGTTGTGGGAGTACCTATTTATCTTTAGGTCCTAGTATAGTATCTGATACACAGAAAGATTTTCTAAAAATTGTTTAACACTAATTCAACAAACGTATTCAGTGCCTCCTACATTCTCAGCATTGCACCATTAAAGGATACAAAAATAGTCATAGACACTGCACTTTCAACCAAGGAAAGAGCAAGATGTTCCAACTATAATGGATACTAATCAAATGGTGTGAACAAAATGTTGAGAGGAGGACAGGAATGAAGGGAATTTAATTCTCGCAGATATGATCTGAGCTATTTTTGTGGAATTGATGGCCACCTATTTGTGTCATTTATCAGCCACAGTTGGGCTTCCTTAAAACCTAAAGGAGATAAAGTGGGATTCATTCCTGGGCCGCAGGGCTGGTTCAACATTCGCAAATCAATCAACGTGATACATCACATTAATAAAAGAAAAGATAAGAACCATATGAACCTGTCAATCGATGCAGAAAAAGCATTTGACAACATTCAGCATCCTTTCTTAATAAAAACCCTCGAGAAAGTCGGGATAGAAGGAACATACTTAAACATCATAAAAACCATTTATGAAAAGCCCACAGCTAACATCATCCTCAATGGGGAAAAACTGAGAGCTTCCCTCCTGAGGTCAGGAATACCACAGGGATGTCCACTTTCACCGCTGTTGTTTAACATAGTGTTGGAAGTTCTAGCATCAGCAATCAGACAATAAAAGGAAATCAAATGCATCAAAGTTGGCAAAGATGAAGTCAAGCTTTCACTTTTTGCAGATGACATGATATTATACATGGAAAACCCGATAGACTCCACCAAAAGTCTGCTAGAACTGATACATGAATTTAGCAAAGTGGCAGGATACAAAATCAATGTACAGAAATCAGTTGCATTCTTATACATTAATAATGAAGCAACAGAAAGACAAATAAACTGATCCCATTCCCAATTGCACCAATAATCACAAAATACCTAGGAATAAACCTATCCAAAGATGTAAAAGATCTGTATGCTGAAAACTATAGAAAGCTTATGAAGGAAATTGAAGAAGATACAAAGAAATGGAAAAACATTCCATGCTCATGGATTGGAAGAATAAATATTGTCAAAATGTCAATACTACCCAAAGCAATCTACACATTCAATGCAATCCCAATTAAAATTGCACCAGCATTCTTCTCAAAGCTAGAATGAGCAATCCTAAAATTTGTATGGAACCACAGAAGACCCCGAATCGCCAAAGTAATTTTGAAGAAGAAGACCAAACCGGGAGGCATCACAATCCCAGACTTTAGCCTCTACTACAAAGCTGTCATCATCAAGACAGCATGGTATTGGCACAAAAACAGACACATAGACCAATGGAATAGAATAGAGACTCAAGAACTGGACCCACAAAAGTATGGCCAACTAATCTTTGACAAAGCAGGAAAGAATATCCAATGGAAAAAAGACAGTCTCTTTAACAAATGGTGCTGGGAGAACTGGACAGCAACATGCAGAAGAATGAAACTAGACCACTTTCTTACACCATTCAAAAATAAATTCAAAATGGATAAAGGACTGAATGTGAGACAGGAAACCATCAAAACCCTAGAGGAGAAAGCAGGAAAAAAACCTCTCTGACCTCAGCCCCAGCAATTTCTTACTTGACACATCCCCAAGGGCAAGGGAATTAAAAGCAAAAATGAACTATTGGGACCTCATGAAGATAAAAACTTCTGCACAGCAAAGGAAACAATCAACAAAACTAAAAGGCAAGTGATGGAATGGGAAAAGATATTTGCAAATGACATATCGGACAAAGGGCTAGTATCCAAAATCTATAAAGAACCCACCAAACTCCACACCCAAAAAACAAATAATCCAGTGAAGAAATGGGCAGAAAACACGAATAGACACTTCTCTAAACAAGACATCCAGATGGCCAACAGGCACATGAAAAGATGCTCAACGTCACTCCTCATCAGGGAAATACAAATCAAAACCACACTCAGATATCACCTCACGCCAGTCAGAGTGGCTAAAATGAACAAATCAGGAGACTATAGATGCTGGAGTGGATGTGGAGAAACGGGAACCCTCTTGCACTGTTAGTGGGAATGCAAACTGGTGCAGCCACTCTGTAAAACAGTGTGGAGGTTCCTCAAAAAATTAAAAATAGACCTACCCCATGAACCAGGAATAGCACTGTTAGGAATTTACCCAAGGGATACAGGAGTGCTGATGCATAGGGGCACTTGTACCCCAATGTTTATAGCAGCACTTTCAACAATAGCCAAATTATGGAAAGAGCCTAAATGTCCATCAAATGATGAATGGACAAAGAAATTGTGGTTTATATACACAATGGAATACTACTTGGCAATGAGAAAGAATGAAATATGGCCTTTGGTAGCAACATGGGTGGAACTGGAGAGTGTTATGCTAAGTGAAATAAGTCATACAGAGAAAGACAGATACCATATGTTTTCACTCTTATGTGGATCCTGAGAAACTTAACAGACCATGGGGGAGAGGAAGGAGAAAAAAAGCTAGGGAGGGAGGGAGCCAAACCATAAGAGACTCTTAAAAACTGAGAACAAACTGAGGGTTGATGGGGGGTGGGAGGGAGGAGAGGGTGGGTGATGGGTATTGAGGAGGGCACCTTTTGGGATGAGCACTGGGTGTTGTATGGAAATCAATTTGACAATAAATTTCATATTTAAAAAAAAAAAACCTAAAGGAATAGTATCTTTCTAGGACAGAGGGAGTCTCATAGTATGCCCATTTCCTAATTTGGTGGCTTTGAGGTGTTTGAGCTGTTAGAACCTCCTAATATGAATTATCACATTTAGCTTTGTTCTGAAGGTTATTGACTAATGGGCTCTTCAAGCCCAGAATCAAAGGTACCTGACCTTCAACCTTAGAGAATGTTCTACTATGTGGCCATGGTTCAAGAATACAACCAGAGTTGATTGTGGCCATGTATCTTTGACAATCTGCCAGTCAATGTGGAAGTTGTGGTAGGCAGGGTTCTAAGAAAAATGTTAGTGTGAGATTCATTGTTTTCTTAAGAGTTGATGGATTAAGGTTGGCAAAGGGGAGAGGGAATAGCATGTGCATGAGAATCTCTGCCACCAATAAGCATGGGATGTATGTGAAGTGTCCTAGATCCACATTACATGTAAAAAATACATATGATTTTTTAAAAGTTACATCACTTATGTTGAAAATAATATTGCAATTCCAATGGACTCATGTTTATAAGTTAAACTGTACTAGGAAACCCACATTATCTCTAAACATAGGTGACATGAAAACCTGGGCCACTGAATATAGCCATACTTCAGAAATGTCACAAATTGTCACAGCCATATTAGTCATGTTGATCTAATAATCAACTTCAATGGTAGTAAAATATTATAATATTTTTCAGTTTATTTAAATTTAAATGTTTAATTATTATATTTAATTAAAAAAATAAAAGGAACCACAGAGTATTGAGAAAGTATTTCATTCACACACTTTTACATAATCAGGTTTACATGCTATTTCTCTGTCCCAGTAGATATGCGCATGTAATTTCTCTATCCCAGTGGATTCTCAGTGTAGTTTTCCAGGACAAATAAAGAAATTAACTTGTAATTACAAGTGACGTAAGTGATTTGGGCCTTATCTCAAATGACATAAGCCTCACTTAAATATGGCACTGCTTTACAGTGACAACTCCTTGGAGCCTATCCCTAGTGTTGTAATGGATGTGTCCCTAATTTATACTGTTCTTTGTTAAGGGATACTGAAATATTTGATTCTCTTACAGGTACCAGAAGTTACAAGTCGATTATTTCAAGTTCATCACTAGTAATTGAGCATCTATTTGTTGTGTGCACAGTGCTTGGTATTTTCATCCACATCATATCATTTAACACAAGAATCATATAAGGTATGTATCATTATTTCCTTTTTATAGGAGAGGAAACAGAAGGTCAACAATGTCTTTCAATGTGCCTATGATTCCATAGATAGTGAGAGGAAGAGCTAGAAACTGATATCAAGTTTGTGTGGCTGCAAAGTCCATGGTCTTTGTGCACATCACTTTGCCTTCCCTCCTGGCACTCATATCCAACTTTGAAAGCTTTTGTGCCTTTCATACACTTATTTTTTCTAAAGTAATTCTTTTCAGGCTGAGGCTTTGTCTTATTTAAAAAAAAAACAACAAAAGCCAGAATGTGAGAATTCAGACACATAACCCTAGTACTGCTCATATCGTAGGATATCATGGTCATGATTCACACACAACTTTTGGGGAAATGTCCATGCTTGCTGATAGTTATGTATGTATGTTTTCTTAATTCTTCAGATTGAAGTTCTTCAAGAAAAATCAAATTATTCAGAAGAATATGTTGCTCTTTAATCTAGAAAAGCCATGGAAATGGCCGAATGTAACTAACATACTCTCCCCTGTCCTTGATTATGTGCTCTAATTTGAACCAAGGGAATATTATTCTGAAATGATCGTTTTTCTTCCAATCCAATTTCCTAGCCTCCCTAGCTGGCTACTTCCATCCATACCTCTCTAACTACTCTCTCCCCCCATCACCATCATATGCCCCCACTTCTTATTTCCCTATAGTTTCATACCACAACCGATGAAACCATCACTTACCAATGTAGGTCTCCAAATGCTTCAGTTCACTTTCCAATTAATCCCAGTCCATAAAAATACCTGGACTCTTCTCTGCTTCATGTAATCCAAGAAGCATGAAAAAGTATGATGTGAGAGATAAATCTTGGAAGATTTTGCAAAGTATACTGGATTTAGCTCATAACAATAAGAAAAATTGTGTTTGGCCCATTTAGCTTGAACATAGACACTTTCCAGCCCTTGGTATCAATGATAACTAAGGATGTGATTTTTTTTTCATTCCAGGAAAAGGATCAAGTCAGAAAAACATGTCAAAATCAACTCGTTACTTTTTGGTCCAGTAATTGGATAAATGGTGATAGTATTTACTGAAAAGAGAATACTGGTGCAGAGGCACATTTGGGATGAGGGTAGAAAATCAAGAGCTGACCTTTCTATAATCACTTAGGTTATTTACAGTTTATGTTATTACAATCAGTATTGCTGTAACATCATTTTACATATTCTTGTACACTTGGGGAAGACTTACTCTACAGTATTTCATACAGTATAGGAGTAAAATAGCTGAATTCTAAGGTAATCGAGTCTCCAATTTTAATATATTCATGGAATTTGAAAAGAAAATTTGTGTGCACAAAGTATTCTAGAAGTGAGGCAAAGTTACCATTTAAAAATTTTAATTGTAGGGTTCTCTACAGGTATCGTCATTAAATTAAGATACCCCATTAATGTGGGGTAATTTCAACCATTTTAATCTCTGGTTCTGATTTCAATAGCCACCATTAAATGAATAGATGGAAAACCACACAGCAGTGACAGAGTTCATTATTCTGGGATTAACAGATAATCCCACACTATGTGCCATCTTCTTTGTGATTTTTCTGGGAGTTTATGTAGTTACCATAGTGGGAAATATCAGTATAATCATCTTAATCCGAAGCAGCCCACAGCTGCACACCCCAATGTACCTTTTTCTCAGCCATTTGGCCTTTGTGGACATTGGGTATTCCACGTCAGTCACGCCAATCATGCTAATAAGTTTTTTAAGAGAGAAAACAACTATCCCTATCACTGGTTGTATAGCCCAGCTTGGCTCTGATGTCACTTTTGGGACTACAGAATGCTTCCTGCTGGCTACCATGGCCTATGATCGCTATGTGGCCATCTGCTCTCCCTTACTCTACTCCACCCAGATGTCCTCAGTGGTCTGCTTCCTCCTACTGGGGGCTTCCTACCTGGGTGGATGCATGAACGCCTCATCATTTACAGGCTGTCTGATGAATCTATCTTTCTGTGGACCAAATAAAATCAACCATTTTTTCTGTGACCTCTTTCCACTCTTGAAGCTTTCTTGTGGCCATGTTTTTATTGCTGAAATATCTCCCGCCATCTCTTCTGCATCCGTCCTCATAAGCACACTGTTTACCATAATTGTGTCCTACAGCTACATCCTCCACTCAATTCTGAATATGCGCTCTACTGAGGGGAGGAAGAAGGCCTTCTCAACCTGCACTTCCCACCTCACTGCCGTCACTTTGTTTTATGGGACAGTTTTGTTCGTTTATGTGATGCCCAAGTCCAGTTATTCAGCTGATCAGGTCAAAGTGGCCTCTGTCATCTATACAGTGGTGGTCCCCATGTTGAATCCCCTCATCTACAGTCTGAGGAACAAGGAGGTGAAAGGGGCCATGAGAAAACTAATGGCCAGAACACACTGGTTTTCCTGAATCGGATCAGATATAAATCCATAAATAACAAAGCAATGATTTGGGGAAACATTTGTGCTGGATACTTTAATGATATTTATCATTAACTCATCACTTTGATAGTGAAGAACTCCTATAAATGTAAAAAGCCAATGTTTACTTCCATATAGAAAGTTAAATGTATCATTTAATGTGGAAATCTGTTTCATTCAAATTAAATATGAACTTTTCAAGGTAAGAATACCTGCTTGCAAAATAGTTTCATTAATCAGTTGTGAGTCCTATATTAAATACAGAGAGCTATTTCCACCAAAGATCAAATTTAATTGAATTCCATCTAGTTAAATAACATTTGGGAAAAAAATTTGTCCCCAACAGATCTGTAATAAAAGATAATATTGACAAGTCAGGACGTTCAGGCCACTTCCTGTAAAGGTACTGCCCTGCCTTTGTCAATGTATATTTAAACATTTGGGAACATTGATGTTCATGTCTCCAGAAAGCCTCTAGGTCCACTTTATTGAAGCGAGAGCAAAGGTCATGATTCCTCTGCTTGGCCATTAAGAGATCCAACCCAGATAACACAGAAGAGACCTTGTATACACCTGTGCTGACTCTTTTTACAATGTAAGTCTTACCAGATGAGTCTAGGGTAAGATTTCAGAAGCTGAGGTTTCTTTGGAGGGGGAGACTGGGACATTAGGACTTTGTTTCAGCAATAATTTATAGGTAGGAGGCACGAAATTATGGGTCAGGCAAATAATACGTTTGCCACACATTTTGTAATGTCTCTCAAGGAGGCGTCCACTCTCCCTGCTTCTTCCACTGACCTTTTGGCGCTTATGATCCCGTCTGGTTATGGCAGTTGCCTCTAAATTGATTCCCTGCCTCCTGTATGCCTTTCACAATGATTTATGATTAATATTTTAGCTACTATATTTTGTTAGCATATGAATGATGTCAGACAAATTCTGAGACACTTTGGAGGAACCACTTTGCGAGCTGAGCTGGTAAAGCGCCAAAGTCAGCACGGACACAGCCCTTTGCAAAGAGAGGGCTCCCAAAGGTATGACTTCAGTCTTGGAAAAGGGCATGTTCGAGTCACGGTGGGAGATCTGCACTCTGGTGGTTGAAGTTTTTCGCTGAGTGTTTCTGGAAGTCTTTGTCTTCTTCTTTCCTCCTATAGTTTGCTTTTCACCAGGATTCATCTTCAGCCCTCTTCCCTCTCCTCCTTCCCATGATCCCCATAGGTAATCTTATCTTCTCCCATGAGCTCAGCTGCCACTGGTGTGGTGAGAGTCCCTACACACCTTCCTTGAAGGACAGATGAACTTCTTCACTGGCCTTTCCCCCCAAGACTCTCAAACTCAGTGTGCCCTGACTGTATTTATCGTATTTCTCACAAAATTATTCCTTTTCCTCTGGTTCTTTCCCAATTAGTGGCAACTCTTTGTAAGGCCTAGTACTGCAAGAGATTTGGGGCAACTCTCACCACACACCCATCAAAATAGTCTGCCTCCCTCCACCCCATTCCTTCTGTCAGATGGAAGACATGTTGCATACTGGCATCTCCCATATCTAAGTCTCTTCTGTCTAAGCATGTAAAGACTCCCCAGTTGATTGTGGTAAGTCCATACTGAGATTTTTCCCTTCATATTTCCACTTGAAGGGATTCAATAATCCAATCACCCAGATGTAGGGTGTGTGGCACTGTTACAACTTTTAGTGGAGAGGATAGGCCTCGACACATCTTTTCCCTCCCAAGTTCTCAATCAACCGAGGAGATGACAAAAAGAGAAGGCATATGGGAGAGCAAAAATATTAACGTATATCAACGAAGGAGCTGATATTAGAGTATGTGACACATATTTGTGGACACGTGCTTTCATGTTCTGAATCCCAGAATCTGACACTCCCCTTCCCTGTCCCTGGTCTCTGCAGTGAGAGTAGGCCTGCCTCCATCCATTTATAGCATGGCCAAGAGCAGCCCAGAGCACGGAGGGCAGACTCACTCCCCAGAGAAAGGGGAAGGCAAAAGGCTGGGATTTCTGTTACAGGTTGAAGTGTGTCCCTCAAAAATTCATCCTAACCACCAGCATCTCAGAATGTGATCTTACCTGGGAATATGGTTGTTACAGGTGTAATTGGTTAAGATCAAGTCATATTGGAGGAGGCTGGGCTTCTAATCCAATATTACTGGTATCCTTATTTTTTTTTTTAAAAAAAAGAAGAATTTGGATACAGACAGCACACAGGAGGAACCTCATATGAAAATAAAAACAGAGAAGTGGGTTATGCTTCTACAATCCAAGTGGGTTATGCCCACAAACCATCAGAAGCTAAGTGAGAGAGATGGAAGGAATCCCACAGTTCTCAAAAAGAAGCAACCCTGCTGACACCTTGATCTTGGACTCCTGAACTGTGAAAGAAACAATTTTTGTTGTTTAAGCCACTCAGTTTATGGTACTTTGTTAAGGTACCGAGCTAATATTACTATATATCTAGTTTTCCCCTCCAAACTTATCATCAGCTAATTTATTACTTCTAGGGAAGGAAGGAGTGAAGGCTAAGAAAGGTGTGTTATGGGGGTACCTGGGTGGCTCAGTTGGTTAAGCGTCTGACTTCGGCTCAGGCTATAATCTCACGGTTTGTGAGTTTGAGCCCCACATCAGGCTTTGTGCTAACAGCTCAGAGCCTGAAGCCTGCTTTGGATTCTGTGTCTCCTTCTCTCTCTCTGCCCCTCCTCCACTTGTGCTCTCTCTCTGTCTCTCTTTCTCTCTCTCAAAAATAAATAAACATTTAAAAAAAAATTTTTTTTAAGTGTGTTATGCTAGTAGATATCTCTTCCAAAGGGGGATAGAGAATATTAGGAATGGTCAAAAGCATTTTCCCCAAACAGCACATCAAAAAATAAGGATCAAGGATATCTCTGTGGCGGGACACCTGAGTGGCTCAGTCAGTTAAGCATCCAACTTCAGCCCAGGTCATGATCTTGCAGTTCATGAGTTCGAACCCTGCATCAGGCTCTGTGCTGACAGCTCGAAGCCTGGAGCCTGCTTCTGATTCTGTGTCTCCTTCTCTCTCTGCCCCTGCCCTGCTCGTGCACTCTCTCTCTCTCTCAAAAATAAAAACAAACATCACAAAAATAATAATTAAAAAAAAGAATATCCCTGTGGGAATAATCAAAAACTCCTTTTGTAAGAATTTTATTTTTTGAAGTTTCCTGATTACTATGGATTGTAGACTGGGAACAATCAAAAACTCCTTTTGTAAAAAAATGTTTTTGGAAGCTTCTTGATTACTATAGATTGTAGTTTGCTACTTGGAAGGCAGAAATATGAACTGGGCGGGGCGCCTGCCTGGCTCATTTGGAAGAGCATGGGACTCTTGATCTTGGGGTTGTGAGTTGGAGCATGTTGTGTGTAGAGATCACTTAAAAATAATATCTTAAAAAAAAAAGAAGTATGACCTGGGAAAAAATTTTAAAGATCCAAAACTGTTGTATTAAAATATTCTTAGTCTATATAAATTTCAGGAAATTTTTCTTCTGCAGTAGATTGGGATTTAGCAAGTCAGTGACATTCCTGCCATTCTGTGAACCTTACCTGTAGTGGAGTATTGGAGAAGATTGAAGGCAAAGGGGAAGAGAAGAGATCATTTCTTGGGGGTAAGGAAATCATCATGTACTGTGATTGGGGTGGTGGTTATACAAGTGTTTACATTTGTCAGAAGTCATCAACCTGTAGATTTAAATTGTGTGTATGTAAATTATTATACTTCAATAAAGTTGCTATTTTGGAAGATTCTACAAGAGAGTACTCAGTTCATTCTCATTTTAATCTGAGGCTTCAGGCAGTGGAGGTGATAGGATTATCATCTGCCTATTAATGTAGATCAACTCTATTTCTTAATTATTTCCCAAAGCTGTTCCCTCAACTACTGCACCTGCTCTAGTTCCCCAGACATTCATTCTTTCTGTGCCCTTCATTCCTTTCTTCAGCACTATGCCTATGCTAGCATTGACTTTCTTTCTGCTTAAAAAACTTTATTTCTTCTTTTACTACAGGTTTGCTGGTGATGAATTTTAACAGTTTCAGGTGGGTTTGGGGTCGGGGGGGTTTTGTTTGCTTGTTTTGGGGGGGTGGTCATAAAAAGTTATTCCACCTTCATTTTTTTTTCCACTTAATTTTTTTTTTTAATTTTGAAATAATTCTAGATTCAAGGAAGCTGCAAAGATAGTACAGAGAGGTCCTGTGAACCCTTTATCTAATTTCACCCAGGGCTTACTACAGTACCGCACAAAACCAAGAAACGGACATTGATACAATGTATTGGTAACCTTCTGTGCACCTTCATTCTTGAAGATAACTCTGGGTAGAATTCTAGGTTGTCCGTGAAATGTCTTCAAGCACCTTTAAGATGTAATTGTTCTCGTGCTTCTACCATTTCTCTAAAAAGTTTAGCTTTCAGTTTTCCTCCCTCCTTCTCCCCTCCTCTTTTTCAAAGGGAATATGTCTTTCATTTCCCTCTTGTTGGGGAACATCAAAAGTCATCAAAAAAGGAGGACTTCCCACTGACCCTGGAGCTGGACCCGGGCATTCAGGGGCTGCTAGCACCTTCTCTGTCCTTGGAATGTGGGTTCCGCTCTCCGTTCCCGCTCCCAGAGGCTGCTCCAAGGAACACAGCCTTGAGATCTCAAGGAACACAGCCTTGAGATAGTGGTATTGAAAACACCTGCATGGTCTGCGTGACTGCACCCATTTAAGGCCTATTTACAAGCTGTTAAAGTTCCGCTGGTGGGTGTGGGGATCCATTTGTCGTCTTGCTGCCGCCAGAGACAAGCCTGGTATGTAAATTCCCCTTGTTTATTACAACTGCCACCTTCTAACCTGGACGTGGCGTCCAATCTTTCTTTGGTTTCTCCCTGCCCTCTGTGTAGGGGGCTGGCTTCAAATCTTACCTTGAAAGTTCCCAGGAGGGGGTTGAAAACCAGCACCCTCAAGCTTTTCACACTTTATTTTGCTTTTGGCTGCCTGTCTTAAGATTTCCGGAAGTGTGATTGTTCCTACATTTACCATATTTGGAAGATGCAGGATGTCTTGAATTTGTGGCTCATGGTCTTTTGTGTTTGGAATATTATCATTGAATATTTCTTCAGAAATTTCTTCTCCTTTTGGCTTGGACTTCATTGCACATGCGTTAGATCTTTTCACAACTTCCAGTATAGCTCTCACACTTTTTGTATTATTTGTTTTATTATTTGTATTTGTTTTATTATTATTTTTTCTTCATCCAGTAACATGTATGTTCTCTGCTGACCTCTCAGTTTACTAACCCTCTTTTCTGCTGTATCCAATCTACTATGAATTCATCTGCTGAAGTCCTAATTTATTTTTCATTTCCAAGATTTAAACTTGATTCTTTTTATTTTGTTTTTCTTTTAAAAAAGTTTTTGCATTTAGTTCTCTGGTGTGATTCTTCAAGTTACTCTTCTGTTTTTCTTAGATATGTTATTAACATTTATTTTGAAATACCTGTTTTTTATTCATTTGGTCCTGGCAAATCACTGGCATACCTTATCGTTTTATTTTGAATGATAGGCAATACAGATAAAAAATTGTAGAGTTTCTGGATGAGATTATCTTCGTCCAAAGTGTATTCAGTATTCTTCTAGCAGGCAGATAGAGCACTGGATTAATCCCTTTGAAGAAATGGAATTATAGTCCCCAAATGGGTCATTCACATAATAAAACAACTCTATGTATTCTTATACAATAGCTTCTAAACTTGCATCGTAGTAAAACAGTGGTGGTATTCCCAGTGTAGGTTAGGCGCTGTGCTTTGTTGGGGAGGACCTAATTCTGATTTGACCTTATTTCTAGGATGTAGCAATTACCCCCAGGGTATGGTCTTTTAGGACTCTCAAGTAAAAGCATAAGGTGTTATAGGTCCCCTCCACCTTAAACAGCCTATCAAGCCAGCACTACAAAATGCCAGAATCTCTGGTAAGATGTTCTGCCTCCCACAGTCTGATTTCCACTTGGTGTTTTGATGTCTTGCCAGCCCTTGTGCAACTCGGAAGTAGTCACATTCCTTAAAAAGAAATTACGCAAAGGATTTGGGGCTCACATCTCTTCAGTTTTTCCTCTCCAGGATCTTGGCCTCGAAAGTCTTAGCTGCCTTGGCATCTCTGACCTCAAACTACTTTTTTTTTATTTAAAAAAATTTTTTTAATGTTTATTTATTTTTTAAGAGTGAGACAGAGAGGCAGAGAGAGAGAGAGGGAGACAGAATCCAAAGCAGGTTCCAGGCTCCGAGCTGTCTGCACAGAGCCTGATGCAGGGCTCAAACTCGCAAGTTGTGAGATCATTACCTGAGCCGAAGTCAGACGCTCAGCTGACTGAGCCACCCAGGCGCCCTTCTCCCCTCAAACTTCTATGTACTCACCCTGCCATGCCGCCTAAAGCCCCAGGCTGTAGCTTTTTGCTCAGTCTCTATCCCTCTTGATATCATTTTGCAAATGCATTTGTGAGGCTCAAGGAAGGATTTACTGGTGAAATGACATTTAAACTGAGACATACAGAAAGATAGGAGTAGAATGATTATTTCTAGTTGGAAATGCAGTTGCAGAAACTTGGGTGGGTGAAAGTAGTGATGTGGGAGGTTGAATGAATTATCCTTAGCTCAAAGTACAATGTCTGGTACAGAGTGAGCATTTGACAAGTATCTGTTGGTTAAACATTAATTCTAATTCAGTGAATATTTATTTAGTCTCTATTCCTGACACTAGATTATGAACTGTGAACACAAAGTTGAGTATGCCATTTGCTTTTCTTTCAAGAAGTTCACAAAGAAATGGTTTTTAAAAATACAATAGTTTCCATTCAAATGATGTGAATAAAGTACGAGTTCCCATTTTTCAATCTGTAAAAATGTTTAATTTTCTTATTAATGTATATATTTAAGGTGTACAAGATGATTTTTGACATACATATACATAGTGAAATGATTAATGAAGTCAAGCTAATTAACATACCCATTTTCTCACATAGTTACCTTTTTCTGGTGTGGTGAAAACACCTGAAATTTACTCTCTCAGCAAACTTCCAGTATTAAATACAGTATTTTTAACTACATTCACCATGCTGTACTTTAGATTGCTAAAACAAATTCATTCTACGTAATTGCATTTTGTACTCTTTGACCAACATCTCCCCATGTCTGCCACCTCCCCAATGCTGGCAACTACTATTCTACTCTCTGCTTCTATGAATATGACTTTCTTAGATTCCATGTCTAAGTGAGATCAGGCAGTACTTTTATTTCTTTGTCTGGCTCGTTTTACTTGGCATAATGTCTACAACACCCATGCTGTTGCAAATGGCAAGATTTCCTTCTTTTTTATGGCTGAATAATATTCCATTGTGTATGTATACCACACCTATTGATAGCGTGTGGTTTTTAATCTTTCATTCTGTTTTTTTTATTTTTATTTTTTTATATTTTTAATTTATTTTTTAATTTACACCCAAGTTAGTTAGCATATAGTGCTATAATGAT